AATGAAGTTTATCTTGAGAGAGATGTGTGAGGGAATTTGTCTGTTTTAACCAGGACAGCACGCTCCTTTGGACCAGCTTATCCCAACGGTACACTTTGGTTGAAGATCGACTTTTTACCTTTCTGAAGATATGTCAGTTCCGGCGTAAAGTTCCACTTCGAGCCACTTTTCAGCGTCTCCGTAAGGACAGTAGGGAACCGTTCGGAGTCGTGAGATCATCCAGAACAGACTTCATAATTCCTCTGAACTTCTCTCGTCCAGCTTAGTCGCAGATGTCCTGAGCATGCTGCATTCCAGCATTCTGCATTCCAGCATTCTGGACTCTGGAACTGCTGAGTTTCAGAACTGCAGAACTGCTCGAGCTCCTGCAGAACTTCTTCATCCACTGTAAACTAGGAAGTGTTGCACCTTTTTAAAAAAGCTCACTTCCGGTTCATTTAAGAACTTTCTGATTGGTCGATGGACCAAAACAGAGGTGTGTTTTGTGATGTAAGGTGTTATGAAAAGTCAAGGAAAAAGATTAAGATTGTTTAAGAACAGACAGAAGATTGTTATGAAGAACTCAGACTTCGTGGAGTCAATTCTCTAGTATCTTGCTGTAAAAGTTAAACATGACATTTCTTTTTCAGTAAACTTGCAGTTGACCGAAACTTGAACTTTGACCAACTTACACAACTTGCTCATTTCAAACAGACGATCAAGAAATTGAATCATTACTCTGTAACATATTCCAACTTGATTTCACTTTGAATGAGGATTAAAAATCGTTATTACTGTTTCACAGTTGATTTAAAAATGAGTAGTTCACTTCAACATTTAAACATTGTTTGAACTAACACAATTTGATTATCAAACATTTGTAAAATAGTAATGATAATTGAAAGTAGTGTTCTTTCTCTTGATTAATTCAAGAAAGAAAGTCTCAGGATGGGTCAACCTGTATTTCTGGATGCAAATCAATGAAATGACAGTTTCTGTCCCATAAGGTCCTTAAGGTCAAGATTTGACCTCAGGCCTAGTTCACTACACATGTGAACATGTTTGCAGATCTCAACATGAACTTCTTTTCTGCAACTCTTAAATAAAAGGTGCTGTACACGAAGGAACGGCAAACACTACATCTGACGTTTGTTCTGGTTCAAGAACTCAGTAAACGATTCGATCCTGCGGTCAGTCGACCCGTGTTCATCCTCCATCATGGTGGACACACATCCTCTAGCAGAGCTCTGAACCAGTTTAAATGACGGTGTGGTGAGATGTTCCACCCTCCCACTCTGTGCACCAGCTGCTGATCAGAGCACCACTGATTGATGGGCGTGGCAGAGGTCTTTGTAGTTGGGTAGGTGGCTGCTACAAGGTGCGTCTTTGTTCCTCCTGCTGCACGTCAGCTGTTTGTGTGACTGGTGTTCTTGGATTCTGCTCATCTGAGATCCATTGCTGCTCCACTGGTGTTACTGGCTGCAGATGGAGCTCTTACGCCGTGCTCAGCTTCTGCCTTCTTCTGACCTGCTGCTGATCCACTCAGTCCAATGGTAGGCTGCGCTCCTGCTCCTCGGCACGTGATTGAGCTGCGCACTGCTGTGCTTCAATGTCCCCGTGCACAGGGACGCTCTGCTGTCTCGTCTGGTCCTGGGTTGTAACAAGTTTTAGAGTTTGGGCTGCTCCACTGCAATTGTTGCCGTTCTCTTTGCAGACAGTCGATTGGACAGTGCACGTCTCCTCCGTCAGCCAGTTGATTGAACAGTGCACGTCTCCTCTGTCAGCCGGTCGATTGAACAGTGCACGTCTCCTCTGTCAGCCGGTCGATTGGACAGTGCACGTCTCCT